TACATTTCCAGGCATTTCTTTTGGTTATTTAAACTTATCATAAAAAATCACTTAAAATATTTTCATTTACACAAGCAATGGAACACAGCCCAGTCGCCGTGTCACTAAACACTACGAGGGTTTCATTATTTGTTTAAAACAAGAATCCACCGCAGCCCTTTCTAACACCTGGAACATGGCGGCCAAGTAACACATTCTCTTAGTGAGAGCTGTTTACCACCCTAGACAAAACTGCTTTCCAAAAGATGTACACAGCCCCAAGGTGTGCATGCACGCACACGCACACACTCACCGCACACTGGCTGGGGCTCTCATGTCCGGAGCAGCCGGGCCTCTGTCCTGACGCCAGGACACGTGCATCTCAGAGGAGCAGCGCCTGAGTGAAGCACCCCTTTGCGGTGGGTCCAAACCCGCAGGTGAGAGCCTGGGACACCCTCCTCCACTGACGCTCACGGACCACTCCCAGCCATGGGTGGGTGGGAAAGAACTTTAAAGTATAAATAGAGCCCCAGACAATGACTATATTACCTTAGAGGTGACAATAGCATGAAGTAATTTAGGTCAGCTGATGCAAGAGCCGGGAGGCTGAACCCTGACACCGACGGTCACCAGGTCAGGCCAGGGTGCCCTCGGTATGGCTGCTGGTCTGTTCAGGTTTGCTCTTTGCTCCCCAGAGCAAATGGGCCTTGCTGATATGGGCCCTACAGGGAGTTTAAGGCCCATGAATGGCCCTCGGGGTAATGACGGACCCTATGGATGGACCCTCGTCTGCATGGGCCGTGCTCTCCAGGCCTGCAGGGCACCTCCGGGGGTGAGTCTGGCCGTTGCGTGTTGCTACAGTTCACTGTGTCCCATACTTTGATAACGCACAGAGTGTTTTATTGCAGTCAAATAATATCTTGAGCTCTCACAACAGCAAACTGCAGGAACTTCAAAGGGATTCCAGTCCAACTGGAACCATCACTACAAAACAAATTTTAGCTTTATTGTTAGCCAGACCGCAAAGGGGCAGAGATGGTGCCAAAGTAAATGCTCTTGAAATCTCCTCTATATATTATCTTTGAACAATTAATTGGTCTCCTGGAGACAAGGGGAGAAAAAGGAAAGAAAACAAAATAAAAGATTGACAATGGAATATATTGTTCTTGGACGTGTGGTGTGGATAAACCATGGTCGTGATGCACAAACCTGCTGAACTGATCATTCACTCCAGCTAGTCTGTAACTGCACGCATGAGGCCAGTGCCGTGCACTGAGATCAGACGCACTTTGCAGATTACATCTTTGGTGGGTTGCAGAGCAGACGTCCTCCTGCCTATGAGACCCTAGTGTCCCTCACACAGGCTGTCCATCAGCCCGCTGTCACCGTCCCCAGGTCACCGGAGGTGACCTTCACTCATGAAGCGTTTCTCTTGGCGAATTCCCAACCTGTGGGCCCTACCGAAGCCTCCAAAGTGACAAGACGTGGCTCTGGGCGGCCAGCTGTGTGGGCAAGACAGGAAGGCACTGAGCTGCAGTGACCACATGGGGGCCTGGCCCGTATCAGGACTGAAGCGTTGGGGATCCCAACCCCAGATACTGGAGTCCCTCGGTCTGCAATAGGCGTTGTCTTCTTAAACCTTCTGTCTTCCGAGGTGCTGTACAGCCCGAGGCTGGGCAGATGCCAGCTCTGATTGTGACTGTGGCTCTGTTTCTTCCATTGGGAACGGCGCCTGTCTTCTGCCACTATGTCCCCCGCCCCCCAGGAGCTGAGCCGGAACGAAATGTCACCTCGATAAGGTCCGCTGAGGTCGTCACATTAAAGGTACAGTGAATTCCAGGGGCAACACCGGAGCCGCCAGAAGCACCGAATAGTTGCCCACAAGCGGCCTGTCTCAGGGAGCTCCTGTCCCCAGACTATGGAACTCGGTCTGCAAGGACGTCTGCTGCGGGGAGCCCAGGCATGCTTGTCACTCTGACACCGATACAGGCGACCTGAAAGGCTGCTTCTCATGACAATCGCCCTGGGTGAGGCTTCCTGGAGAAAAGTCCCGCAGGTGGGCTGGACACCACTGAACGCTTGGTCTGTTCTGTCTGACAGTTGACACTCACTGCTGCCTCCTGAGGGGGGCAGGGGGTTGAAAAGGAGAGAAGCAAAACACACACACACACGCACACAGGCACACGCACACACACATGCACACACGCAAACACACATGCACACACACATCCTGGGGAGGTGATGGGCCCAGGGCATGTGTCAACGCCGGCAGGAATGTGCACGCGCTTGCCTCATGGCCGTGTCCTGCCACCCGGACAGGCCAGCGCTTGTTGCAAAGTGACAAGGCTTCTGCTTGACAGACACGCATGACGGCACACTGCAGGGTCTGTCACGTTGTTGGAAGAATCCCTCAGTCTGCAGGCAGCTGTGTCGGAGCACGCAGGGCTCTGACGGGGCTGGGAGAAAGCAGCCCTGTGTGTGCGGAATCGAGGCTCCCGGGTCCCCACTCAGGACCAAGGCTATGGCTCTGAGGATGGCTGGAGGTGCCCTGTCCGGCTGGCAGGGCTTCCTGCAGCCTCGGGGACCAGCCAGGCCCACCCACCTTCTTGGTCTTCCTGGACATCTCAATAAAGGGCTGAAGTTGAGTGAAGAATGCTACGCATCTGATTTTCCAGAATCCATTTAGCATATTCACGTGGAAATGTCTTCTTCTGATTTTAATGGAAAGGCTGTGCGATTTAAACTTGGAAGAGCCGTCTCCACATCCTGGGCCCTCACGTACAAGGGCCCAGCCTTCACTATTTGGTATGGGCTTCTGACGGTCCTGGGCTTATGAAATGCTCTCTTCTAAACTGCGATGCTTTCTACACACAGACAAGCACGCGCAGTTGGGAGGAATTTGACGGGATTCGCTTATTCATTTGCTAATTTATTCTAAGACAAACACAAAGAAAAGAGAAAAAGGAGTCGATGTCCAGAAAGATCTTGGCGCACTTTGCAACATTACCCACTTAGGAAAACACCAGCACTGTTTCAGGGCCCAGCAAGGTCTCCTCCCCTGTCCCCAAGGACGGGGGAAGCATATGAAAATGTCATGATAAGCTGGCTCTGGCGAATAAAAGCTTTAGACATGAGAGGTGTTTTCATCTCACCTGTGCTTTCCCTAAATTCGTTTTAACTAAAAAGTTCCTTTGCATATAGTCCAATTTGTATTCACAGCCCACTAGATGAAGTCCTAGGCTCTTGGCTTTTGGTCATATTTCTGTTCTAAAATCCCCTAGATTAGCAACACAAGTTCTGCTAGCTTTAGGGACAGTACAGTTAAGAACAGCTTCAACAGACCTGGTTCCGTGTAAATGGAGTCCACCATCTCTTAGCTACATGCCTCACACGAGGCACGCGATCTCATCACGCCTCAGTTTCCTCATTTGTAAAATGAGAATAGTAACCATAACCCCTAATTTATAGTGTCGTCGAGGAGCGACTGAAACAACATATGAACAGCAACGTGTGGAGCAACTGGACCTCTCGGACACCCTGCTGGGAAGGCAAAAGGGCACAGCGCCCTCGGAGAACAGCTCAGCAGTGTCTTCAAAAGTTAAAAATACACTTCCCATGTGAGCCAGCAACCCCACTCACGAGTATTTACCCGACAGAAATAAACACGTGTCCACACAGACCTTGTACGTGAACGTCTGTAGCAGGCAACATTCACATCTGTCCCAAAGGAAACATCCTGGTGACCTTCACACCTGATGTGACCACAGGACAGGGTGCGACCCAGTGACACACGGACCACAGACACGGAGAACGTGGTGGATCTCGGCCGCTGTCGTGTGAAAGAAGCCAAACACAGGACTCCAAATGAAAGACTCCCTTTCTATGACATTCAGAAAAGAAAAGGCTGCAAAGGGGCAGGAGAGAACCAGCTCTCCGGGGTGACAGAAACGCTCTTGGTGAAGGTCACACAGCTATGTCTGTCGCCAAAACTCATCAAATTGGAACTGAGAGAGAGTGGTTTTTACTTCTAATGAAGTGCACCTCATTAAAGCTGGGAGGAGGGCAAGTGTGGTACCTGGCCCCAAGCAAACTGTTATGTCTCCCCCTTTAGTTGTCACTTAGAATTACAACCCTATCCTAGCTGTGTTAACGCTGCCGGTCACCCAAGCCACGCTGACCTGACCTCAGGCTTAAGTGCTGCTTTTCCCCTTCAAGTCCTTCTGACACAAGATTGCCCCTTTTTTACTACTTACCTCCCCGCCCCCCGCCAAAAGGCAGTGAGATTTTAAATAGTATGCAGGAGTGCCAAGTGTTATTACTCTTGTTTTCAACTAGTACCGCGGTGCTGCAGGAGCACCCATGGCCTGCCGAGGTTCAATCACGGATGCAGACCGTGGGTACGGGAACCGCAAAGATGGGTACGGACTCTAAGTTATGCTCGATTCCGAATGCACAGGGGCTCGGCGCCCTTAGCCCTGGTGTTGTTCAAGGGTCAATTGTATAAAGATAGTACAGTTCTTTGTTTGCTAAGTGACTAGTAATAAAGTAAAAAAAAAACCAAAATGCCAGAAACCTATTTAATCTTAAAAAGTAGTTAAAAGGCCAGTGACACTATATCCCTCCCCTCTCCTTATGCTCACAGAGCACACAGATGCTCGCGTTTCCATGCTCAGGAGACAGGCTCCCTCCCCAGGGCCTCGGTCCTCCGCCAGTGGGACTCTCCCCAGTGTCCGGAGTGGGGCAGGTGCCGGCACCTGCGTCCAACAGGAGGAAACAACCAAAGAAGGTTGAGAGCAGCAGAGGGCACACAAGTGGGGATCTGAGGCTCAGGGTGAAGAAAAATTGTGGTTGTTTCACTCAACATTTCTTGGGGTTACTAATTAATAATGTTTTTTTTTTTGCGGTATGCGGGCTTCTCACTGTTGTGGCCTCTCCCGCTGCGGAGCACAGGCTCCGGACGCGCAGGCCCAGCGGCCATGGCTCACGGGCCCAGCCGGACCGGGGCACGAACCCGCGTCCCCTGTATCGGCAGGCAGACTCTCAACCCCTGCGCCACCAGGGAAGCCCATTAATAGTGTTTTGTAACATCACATGCCGACGCCTTCTTTTGTACACACCCGAAGCCTAATTTCTCTTTCCCGTTCTGGGTGATGGAGCCATAGGCAGAGGGCAGAGCCAGGCTCTGAGACAAAGCGCTGGCTGCACCCTGGGCCTGTGGGCTGGTCAGTGGCGGGGGGAGGGGGCCTGGTGGCAGAATGGGGGCCTGTCACTCTAACCCCAAGCCTGTCCTGGCTGGGGCCATGGCTCGAGGGGGGCAGCCGAGCCCAGCGACCTCGGGCCCCACGCTCTGAAACCTGAGATGATGCCGTTCCTCCCTGCACAGCAGCGCGGAGCGTTCGGTGGGTGTTATGACTTGTCTGGTTCCCAGAGAAGGAGGAATCCTGCCAAATATTTGTAACCTATGCTGCTGTATGCAGTCAGGGAAGCCACACCCAGAAGCCAGCGCATGGCTGCAGAATGAAAGCGTTCCTGCTTGGAGGCCAGATGGAAACGTGGGTCTGGGGGAGGGAGCTGGGGAGCCTGGGCCTTGGTTCTCTGCGGGACGTCTTCTCCTTAGGCTCTAGTAGACGTGCACCTTTCTCCAGCCTCTCTGAATAATCACCGTATTCTTCTCTGTGAGTGTGGTCACCGCAGACAATATTTGCATCTCTTCAAAGCATCTAGGTAGATAGGTCCTGATTCATTTGTATTTATGTCAAGAGCCAAAATGGACAGCACTTATCTGCGAATACGGTCTTCTCTCTTCCTCTGAGTAAAGCACTTGGTGGCGTTTTCTAAGGCAGCGCTGGGTGAGCGCTGGGAGCTATGATCAGGGTCGGCCCTGGGCTGGGCCCCTCTGCATTTCAGGCTGGCTTCACTATCCAGAAGGGTTAAAACCACTCACCATCTGAGGCATCAGTCCGATGAGGACTAAACACAGGAATGGATCACATCCCAGGACGCAAGACAGATTTTTTAATGAGTTTTTTTTTTAAGTTAGTAAAGTGAAATTGATTTTTTTATAGTCAGATAATAGCTACCAGCAGCGCCATCTGTTGAGACACTGCAAAACTCCATTTCCTCTGTCCCAGTGAATATCTACTTTAAGTAAAGAATGAGAAAAATGTTTGGGATCAAGGGTAGAAATGGAAGTTTATGGGGTCTAGTCCATTTAGTCCCCAGTTTCAGGCAAAATCACAACTACGATTACTTCTGAGACGAGAGGAAAAGGCTGCGTGGAAAGCCCTCACCTCACCAGCACCCTCCCCGCCTGCTTGAGGACACGGTCCCTCCCACCAGCGACAATCACACGCTCAGGCCTCGCCCCCAGGCCTGCTCGGCTGGCTGGGGACGGCAGGAACGGGCAGACATGGTCTCTCGCTTCTCAGGACGACTGGGTGTCAGGGCTGGAGTGGCCCAGGCACCCACCCTGCAGGAAAGGGGACAGGGCCCGGGCTCCAGGGCTGGACCTTGCCCAAGGTCAGACAGGCGGTGAGTATCAAGGTCACGACCGACCGGAATTCGGGCCCCAGGTGTTCTGAATTTCAGCCCACACCTCCTTGCGTTGCGCTGCAGGCCTGTCCTTCCACGGTGAGTAGGGGCTGGAATCAACTCATCTGTCCGCCAGGCAGTCCAGGGGCAACTGGGTCAGGTGCTGGCCAGGCGCTTGGGAGACAGAGGCAGTGGACGGGGCCGCAGTGCGGGCTGCTGCTTAGTCGAGGGTCCTGGGACAGAGCGACACGGACACGGGGACCGAGGGCAGGAGGGAGCCAGTCCCGCTCTCCAGCTCCCTGGTGGCCCGGTCTGTGCATCCCTGGGGCCTAGCTCAGTGAGGCGGGGGAGGGCAGATCACGGGGCGCCTTGGGGGCTATGGGCGGACTCAGGGCTCCCTTCTGAGCAGGTGGAGCCCCGGGGAGGGCTCAAGGGAGCAGCCACGTGACCTCGCTTCGTATCAAGTGTCGCCTGGCTGTTGTCCTGAGATGAGCCGGAGGGCCGGAGTGGAGTGCCTGAGGATGCTGCAGGGGTCCCGGCAGAGAGCACGTGGCTCGGCGGGAGGAGACGCGGGGCCGGATCCTTGGAGAGTGAAGCCTTTGCTGATGGAGGAGAAGTGGGTGCGAGAGAAAGAGAGGCTTCAGCACAAACAACCATGTTTGTTGACACCCACCACGTGTCAGCCATACTACACCTCACTTTGGAGGTGTACACAGATTTTGGGGGTAGTGTTTTTTCCAACTTCGGGTATCCACCCAAGGAACATGAATTTATTAAAAAAAAACCTCAGCTCTCCATATACACACATGACGGGACGTCATGATAGGACTTTGACAAACGGTCACTTGCCCTGGAGATCACCTACAGCCAACGCTGGAGAACCCGTATTTTCACGGTTGCTGCGGTTAGATGACTTTCTTGCTCTGAGGGCTGCATGGAGAAATGAGGCTCCCTCTTCAGCGCCAGGGGCCGTCACAGGCTGAGCAGCTCACGCCAGATACGTGTCTGGAACCACTGAGGACACCCAGGAGGAAAGCCTGGCGTGGGCCCGCGTGTCACCTGGGCTGGGCTGGCTGCAAACACGGACAGGTGTGTCCCCCACGTCCCCCTCTCACGGGGCTGTGCCCTACGCCCAGCCACTGCACACATGAGCGAGAGCCCGTAAAGTCACCTAAGTGCAGGCCTCTGACACGACCCTGCGATGAGCTCTTGAAAGCTTTCACTGGTGATGAGAAAGTGATTTCTACTGTCTGAATGAACTGTCTCTTGACTAACATCATCCAGCAGTGGAGCAATCAGGGACGTGCCCCCGGAGTCATAGCTGGCATGGAACGGAAGGGAAGTATGACTGAAAAACTACACCCACCACTCTGAATCAGAGACGTTAGCGTCTTGTGATACAGACACTGGGTATTGGGAGTAAACATGTTTCTGGCAACCTGGGCAGGTGAACCTGTAAGTCCCGCATCCAGCCCAGCACCGCCGACATGCAAACCCCCTTCCTTCTCCTCTTCTATTCCATCCCCAGGGTTTCTGTCCCTTGTGCCTTTCCACTGCCTACAAGCTACCGGAACACGGGATCTGTACGCTCCAGTGTCCTGCCGCTAGGGGCTTCCTAAATACCTTCTGAAAAACTACTACAGTTAAATTAGAGCCAGGATCTCCTTAAGTCAGGTGGACCTTACCTGGCCTAATGAATGAATACTCAAGGCTTCAAACTGCACAGAGAGCAGAGGGAAAATGGGCAGGAATGAACAGAACAAGACCAGTAAGAAGACTGCTTTTGTTAAGCAAAGTGAAACAGTTGCACATTTACATATACAAACGTTTCTTCTACAGGAATCTCCTTGAAGCCTCCTGTTGCTTACGCAGGCCTTGGTTCAAAATATTCCTGGGGCGTCTACCGGGCAGGTCAGGGGACCCGATTTACGTGCTTTGCTTTAACAACTTTCTGAGGCTCATAATTCACATGTACAAAGACCTGCACCCTTATCTCTGTCCCATGTGTGTCCCATGTCCTATAACATGCTCTCCTTGTCCCTGGTTTGTGCTATTTGATCATGAGGCCCCTCTGTGCTGTTTTCTCCCTGTTTCTTGCGCTTGGGGTTTGCTGAGCTTTTGGGATCTGTGTGTTTATAGTTTTCATGAAATTTGGAAAAATTTTATCCATCATCTCTTCACGCACCTCTTCTGTTCTCCCCTCTTTGCCGGGTCCCCGACTATGTGTACATTTGGGGACTTGAAGTTGTCCCACAGAACTGACACTCTGTTCATTTTCTGGAAAATTCTTTTTTTTGTGTCTCATCTCACATGGTCTCCAGGGGCACTGAGCTCTTCCTTCGCAGTGCAGTCGACCCTTTATTCCATCCGATGTAATTTTCGCGTTGGACACGGCAGATTTCATCTCTACGAGTCCAACCGTCTTCTTTATATCTTCCCTCTAACTTTTTTGATGTATACGTATGGAACAGTGTTCTAAAAATGGGCTTAATGCCCCCTGCCGCTAATTTCAACATCTGGGTCCGTCAAGGCTAGTTTTGATAGATTCTTTTCCTCTTCATTACGGGCCATGCTTTCCTGCTTCTTTGCGAACCTGGCGACTTTTGGTCGGATTCCGTCCATTGTGAAATTCCCCTTGCTGAGGCAGTTAATATCCCTGCATTGTTACAAATACTCTTGAACTTTATTCTGGGACACAGTTAACTTACCTGGAAACAGGGTGGTTGATCCTTTTGGATCTTCCTTTTAAGATCTGTTAGGCAGGTCTGGAGCAGCGCCCAAGGCAGGACCAATAAATCCCACTACAGAGGCAAGACCGTCGGACACTCCAGCCAACGCCTGTGGACAGTGCCCTATTCCAGCCCGGCTGGAGGCAGCAGGCTCTGTGCCTGGCCCCGTGTCAACGCCTGGTACGCCAACCCTTTTGGGTGGTTCTTCCCAGCCTTGGGTCGTTTCCTCACACGCGTGTGCTGGTCAGTTCTCCCCTGCACATGCCGGGGGCCGTCTGAGCAGCTCTGTCCTGAGTCCTCCTGCCAGCCGGCCTCCCTGAGTTCTTCTCTCTGTCCTCGAGACCCAGGGAGTCCGCCGGCCTCTACCGACCCTGTCCCATTGCTGTGTCTTGGAAGACCTCGCAGGGCAGTGAGCCTGGCACGTAAGGGGCTCACTTCTCTTGTTTCCCGTTCCTCGGGGCAGCGTCCTTGCTGCCTGACGTCTGGTGCCCCGAGAACCATTTTCCCATGTTTTGTGTTTTTGTTTTGCTTTTTCTGGACAGGAGGGAAAGTCTGGTCCCTGTTGCTCCATCTGGTCCGGATGTGGGCACCCCCCATGCCTAGTTTTATTACCACTTGGCACGGCCATCAGCTGGACAAGGGTGGCTCTGGATGGCTTTTGACCGCTTCAGAGAAAATCACATAAAATTGCGGTGGATAAGGTTCTGTCAGCAGCAAGCACAGCCATGGTTGGCTTCCCGTTCATCATTAACTGAGCAGGTACTACGTGCCCCACAAGTGGGCTGTGTTTATGTCCACGATCTCATTTTAATCTTTGTAACAACTTTACACAGTAAATACTATGGTTCCCCTTTTAAGTATAAAGAAGCCGAGACTTGCCCGACGCAATGTAGCTGGTTAGCGGACGAGGGAGAGCTGAAAGCCAGCTCGTCTGAAGCCCAAGCCTGTGCTCTACTCATTGCTCTCCCAAATGTACTAACGAGAAGGCCATGGGCCACCAGAAATGTCCGGGAACAAGGACGGGATCATGAAAATAAGTAAGTGTGCGTGATGACCTGAAAATGCAGAATGACAACAATTACCCTGTTTCACTGATTCTAAGGGGTCGCTGGCTGTAAGAGGCACCATTACATCCCCGAGAAAGAAAAAACCTGCCCATTAAACTATGACATAGTGTCTTAAATGTTCAAATTAAATTTTAAGTGTTAAAAAAATCATTTTAAGATTGTTAAAATTTTAACAAAAAATTAAATTTAAATAAAATTGAAAGACATTCAATGTTCTTTAGGGTCATATACAGTCATCTGGATCTCAATATTAGAGTTGTTAAAGTTTTACAAAATGCGTGTTAAAATCACTTAATTAGTGCAGTGTCAGTTACTGGTACCTACTACCTGCCATTGCTGCACTGACCGAACAACACTAAGAGGGCGGCCTTACAGTCTGCACTGTGAGGAAACTGAGGCTCAGAGAGGTCAGTGGCACGTCCAAGGTCACACAGCTGGTAAACGGTGGTGCCGGGTTTTGTTATTTCTACCTGATATGCTTGTTTGAAATAAATCCATCTTACTACATTATGTGTTTTCCTGCTGGCACGTCAGCCCTGTGTACGTGTGCATGGGTGTGTCGGCACACAGGTGTCCCCAGGGGGCCGAGGGAGGGAGCCAGGTGTAGAGACGGACAGCAGTGGAGACAGGGTCAGTGAGCGTGGGCAGGGTGAAATGTCTCATCCGCCCACAGCCCGGTGAGTGAGCAACTATGCCACAGATGTTACATACACTCAGAAAAAGCCTGAAGATTATTTACTGTGGCAGTAAACCAGCTTTTAAATTAGAACATACATCCGTTCAGATGAAAAACATCTATTGCCTCTGTAGAGTCCCACTTAGTTTGAGTGTGTTAAAGACACACAAGCTGTGCTTGGTGAGCACAAGTGTTGAAGCTGCTGGATTAGAGGACGCCCCTTTAACCACCTTGCAGGGAGGATCCACTCGGGGGCACCACTTCTTTTGGTTCCCTTGTTACTTCTGTCCATAGAAAGATGCACACTTCTTTCTATGAATAAATTAAAAAACCCCAAGCTGGACTTCCCTGGTGGCGCAGTGGTTGAGAATCCACCTGCCAATGCAGGGGACACGGGTTCGAGCCCTGGTGCGGGAAGATCCCACATGCCGTGGAGCAACTAAGCCCGTGCGCCACAACTACTGAGCCTGCGCTCTAGAGCCTGCGAGCCACAACTACTGAGCCCACGTGCCACAACTACTGAAGCCCGCACACCTAGAGTCCATGCTCCGCAACAAGAGAAGGCCACCGCAATGAGAAGCCTGTGCACTGCAACAAAGAGTAGCCCCCGCTCACTGCAACTAGAGAAAGCCCGTGCGCAGCAAAGAAGACCCAACACAGCCACAAATAAATAAATAAATAAATTTATTTAAAAAAACCCAAAACCCCCAAACTTTCCTGAAGGTAAAAGTGAGGAGTCGGTCACTCACTGTGAAGGACAGCGGTAGCGACCACGAAGCCTCCAGAGACTGCCAGTCCCTGGGAGAAGAGCGGGAAGGTGGGCCGCTGTGTGGCAGCCTCGCTTCTGCTACGGGCTACGACTTCCACAGGGAGTTACCTCCAACACCAACGGATCTCTGCGCCTCGCGCAAAAATGCTGAACCCACGAAGGTTTTGAAATAGAACAGAACATAACTCCCTTTGGGACCTCACATCAGTAATATTCTCCCCCAAATCACAGATGTGTTAATGCAGAGACTGCTAAAATCCCGGCCCAGCAGTGGGATGTTTTTAATACGAACGTCTCAGTTATGTTTCCTATTTCAGAAGAGTAAGAGGCTGAGCTTTGCAGGCAGGTATCACTCAAGTCC